CCCTGGTGCCATTTATTTCCTTGTGCATCCAGTTGAACCTGTAATACACCTACTAATGCCCCACTATATAAAACCGAAGAGGACAGAGGAAATTGATGAAACTCACTGGCCCAACTTAGAATCTGGTTGGGGAAGTTATCTGTCTCTGTCTCCCTCTCTCTCTCACACCTGCAGACACACATACATCACGGAGAAAACACGGAGGTAGTGCTGACGCAGATGTGTAACAGAGTGTCAGATCACACAAAGCCTGGTGATTTCTGCTTCACTCTAGTCAGATGGAGCTGAGGATCTCAGCTGTGCTCACCAGTGCAGACTGATTCTACTCCTGTCACCACCTCCCTCAACGTGTCAGAAAAGGTGCCACGTTTGCCACACGTTGGGACTCGGTCCTCCTTCCTCGTAATAGCCTTTCCTCCTCGCGGTTGTCATTTCAGTAAACTGAAGCCTCAGCTCTCACTCAGTGACCACCTCCATATTCTTGAAGAGAATATCCGGAGGCTGCTGCCCCTCCCACCCCTGGAAAGTCTGAAAAACGAGGGCCAGACCGACAAGGACAAGGAGCACATAAAAGTACGTGGCCCAGCCTGAGCAGTGGGAAACCCCAGGGGGACTTTACTCTGACCTCAGCCTGGGACTCACGGGGGCACGTCTGATTTCAGTTTCTCTACGAACGATCCATGGACGCCCTAGGAAAACTTCTGCGGACCATGATGTGGGACAACGTGAATGCGGAGGACTGTCTGGAGATGTTCAGTGTGAGTGGAGCCTCGGCTCAAATTGATGCCCACCCTCCCTGGCCGTCCTCCACATGCCCCGCTCTACCCCACAGGGAGACATCCAGCCTCCCCTCCCCACGCACACATAGAGCCAGGCCTCCCAAAACGTTGTTTGTGGGGATGTGAGAGAAAGGGAGAGAGACAGAGACAGGGAGGGAGACGATGAGGCCGAATGTACACGGAGAATACTAAGGGAAGGACATTTCTTGCTTGACCAACAGCTTCTCCGGATGTGGCTTGTTTCACCAAAAGAATGGGAAAGAGAGAGAGCCTTCCAGATCGCTGCAAAAGTGCTGACGAATGATATTGAGGTAAATAATCCCCTGAAACAAATAGATTTCATTGTTTGCAAATGGCAGGGATCCCTGAGGCCTCCGGAATTCAAAACCCCTGCCTGGTGGACCTCAGGACTGCAAGCGGAGCGCTTTCCCGAGAAACCCGGGCCAGGTCCCCCCAACTCCCGACCGCAGCAGGTGCACTAGAATGGAGCTGTGTGCCGGCCTTTGCATGCTGCTTCCTTTTCCCCTGCCCTTAGGAAATCAGGCACCTCTGAAGGGAAAGTTCAAGGCTAAAAGGTCATTCTGAGAATCTGCAGAGAGAAAATGAAAGCCTTAAGATGAGCTGGCTGTTGGGAATATCCCGGGAAATCACCAGCCATCCCACCACACGGGTCCCTCCTTTGTCCTGCAGGCACCGCAGAACTTTAAAGTCGGTTCACTCCTGGGGCTCCTGGCTCCTCACTGCTGTGACACCCTGCCCTCCATCCGCCAGGCCGCCGTTAGCTCGACTATTGGTCTGCTCTGTTTAAAAGGTGAGGGAACGGTGGGGAAGCCACGAAAGAAGAAAAGATACCAAATGTCTTTCATTCCGTTTTCCTCTGTGTGCGTCTGTCTCCCTTCTTCCTCTGCTCCCGTTTACTCTGCGCTCTCCTCCCCACCGCTTCTCTCCTCTCCTCTCCTCTTCTTTCCTTTTCTCTCTCCCTCTCCAATTCAGCCATTTCTGTTTTAATACCTTAATTGTACCAGAGAATATGTGTTTCTCTTAGATCTGAAACAAGTCATTTTTTCCTTCAGTAGCTCTGTTTTCCTGTTTTTTAAAATAAAGATAATAACACTGAAGCATTATAGAGATCCATTAAAGTAGGTAAAATGTTTTGAGAGTCTCTGATTTAAATCGCTGAGCAATTGGGTATATTAGCAAGGCTTCCTTTATCACATACTTTTCTTCAGTAGAAAATTGCACTGTTATTATGGTGCTAAGTGACTTTCAAAGACAGAACTTTGTGGAGGCTTTTTCAACAGAGCGGGATCTCCTCCTGCTCTCCAAGTACGTGGGAATATCAGAAAATATAAGGAATTTGCAAACCTCGGTCTCAGGCTGAAAGCACCAATCAAGGTGTCCTGTCCAGGTGGATTCACCAGGTATTTTGCTGAAGACAGTCCTACATTGTGTGTGCTTTATTTCCTTTTTATTATTATTATTATTATTATTTGCTGTTATTTTTACATTGACAACATCTCAGGTATGAGAAAACTGAGGGTCAGGAAAGTGACATAGTAGAGATTTTGTTCTAAGACTAACTTCAAATCTGCTGTAAACTCTTAACCCCAATACAGTTGCTGAAGTTATAGTCCAAGTGTGTGCACATTTCTGTGGACACCAGGTACAGCCAGGAACACTTGGTTGAGGCTTAATGCCATCTCATGCCTCTGTTCTG